GACTTCAACTCCCAGAATTCTCCCAGCCATTCAGCTCTGGGAGTTGAAGTCCACTCATCTTAAAGTGGCCAAGTTTGGACAACACTGGCTTAGGGTATTTGTGCCTCCACTCAAGTGAGAGACCATCACTTGTTCTCCTGACTCAAGCAATGAAAGGCAGTCATATGTCAGAACTCCAGAGTTGGGGTAGAAGGAGAAATCCAGCAGAATGGACCATGCTGAACACACAGAGCATCCAGATGTAAAGCCCCCTTCTCAGATTATAGTCCTTCATGCAGAGGTCTGGATAGAGAGTTTCTATCTGGGGCATGGTGTGCTTAACCCGAGCTGTGGAAAACAGAATGGAATAACTTTGGTTGTTTCCCCTTCTTCGCAGGTTGCATCCTATGCTGCTTATTGCAGTTGGTACCAGCCCAGAAACGTTTAACTGTCATTCCTAAACCCTCAAACCCTAAACAGGGTGAAAATGTCCTGCTGGTTCTGAAGGGTGTCCCGGACCAGTTTGAGACATGCGAGTGGACGCCGCCCTCTGGGAACAAAGTTACTTTTCCCCCCCAAGAAAGTTCCGGGTCAAAAACTATCAAGGCTGATGCTGTACAGACAATAACTGTACATCAGAATTGTTCCTTGGATATCAGAAATCTGACACAGTCAGCTACAGGAAACTATATGGTAACCATAACTGCTGACCCCGCAAAGAAGCTAGATACAAAAGATGAAGCAACTCAAACCTATACGGGTTCCATTGTTCTAAACATTTCTAGTAAGTTTTAAATGCTATCTTGCAGGCTGCATTCACCCAACCATGCCTAACTTGCATTCTAAGCTTTTGGAGGTTCATAAAATATATTATAGCACCAATTAAACAAGCAGGGTTATTTATTTATTTGCTTATTAAATGTGTACGCTGCCCATCTCCCCTGGCTTGCATTTGCTAACCCTAAAAGAACAACTCAAGGTTCATACTGTCCAAACGTAAGGTAGATGCTGTTGCTAGATGTTTAACTGACCTGGTTAAGCATGTTTGCAAACACTGGGATCAATGTGTACCTTTAAGGTTATCTAACAGGCAGAAATCTAGCTGTTTCTTATTAATGCACTGCTATGTTTGAAAATCTCTAAGATGTAGATCAGAGTTTTTCCGGGACCACAGAGTTCCTTGAGAACTTCATGAAGTTCTGAGAGAAACTAAGTAAAACAAAACATTTACTTGGATGTACCCAATTTTCTGCCATTAATGCTTTGCCTCTTGATCAGAAGTTCAGGATTTTTAAAAATCAACATGCTCCTTGGCCTGAAAAAGTGTGAAAAGTTTTCAGCTAAGTTTCATTCACAGCTGCAATATCAATTTTGCCCGTGCACTATTGATTCAATCTGTTTCCTGAAGCTGCTTGAGGGTTTGACCATTTTTTTATATTCCTATTTTAGCAGCAAAAACAACCACTGGAGCTATTAGGTTTTCTTTCTTTCTTTCTTCCTTTCTTCCTTCCTTTCTTTCTTTTTTTAAATTGTCCTTGCCATTACAGTACATCTTTCATTGTAGCCCACCAAAAAATTAGAAGCTGAATTTCTACCCCACTGTCCAGGAAATCTTTCTTCTTGCTAATATTCTGTGCTCCTTAAAGGCACTGAAGCAGAGACAGTTTTTTAAAATGGCAATCACACAATAGGAAGTAAGAAAGACAAGATCTGTTGGGTGGAAAGTTTAGTTCTTGGTGTGTTTTGAAAGAAGGCTGCTAGTTTATGAGAGTGGGCAAGCACAATCTTGGCATCTGCCTTTAAAAGAAGCTTAAATTACAACAATCCAAGTGTTGCAAACCACAAGAATAAATGTGGTTCTTTGCCTGGCTCAAAAACAAGAGCACTTGTTTCTTTGATCATGAGACAATGTGATGATCTTCTTACTTTGTTTGCAGTCGTTTTCCAAATTACTATCCAGATCATACCAGCAAACCCCTCTGTTGGCCAGAACATCACGTTGATTCCAGGGATGCCACAAAAAGACATTGTGGGGTGTGATTGGAGCCGAATAACCAAATCTGGAGCGAAAGAAAAAATCTACAATTCTGAGTCAGAGTCCAAGAAACAGCAGGACCGACAGAAGACAGTACAAGAGGATGATTGCTCCTTGCATATCACCCAGCTGACCGCAAATGATTTTGGAAACTACATTGTTGAGATTGAAGTTTCTTCAGACCAAAACCCCAGTCCAGGGAAGGGGACTAGTGTGGAACCAAAGTTCTATAGAGGCCAGGTGGTGTTACAAGCCAGAACACAAGATGGTGGAACAGCCAAACAACAACCTGGTGTGTACTGCTTTTTCTGCTCACTGAACTGAACTGCTCATTCAAACCCCACTGCCGAGACCATGTTTTGTTAGAGATTTAGTTTTGAATGAGGCTTTGAGGCAACTTGAGTCACCAACTCAACGCTGTAGCGTTCCAAAACAAATCTCTAACAAGGTGGATGTACAGTAGTACGAAAAGTATGTTCCCAGCTTGACGTGGGCCAACAACTAAGTTACCTTGTACAACCGCTGGCTTTTAAATCTCTGTAGCAATACCAGTTACCCCAAAGCAACCTTATTCTCAAGTAGTTCAAGAGAATCCTAAGACAGGGAGCTTGGAGAGCAATGAGGAAAGCAAAGAGGAGCATTCCATGCCTTCAACCTAAAGATAAATATATAAATATACTAAAGAAATGCTTCCTCATAATTACAGTTGTAATATCTGCAGAAAAATACTGCCGCTTAGCTCAACAGAGCTTATGCTGGAATGGAGCTAAGGTGGTGGCCCTAGATAATTACCTGTCCCAAAGCTAGCTAATAATAGTTAAATTTGCATTTATCTGCATATAAGGGAAACTGACAAAATACAGAATAGGCAGCTGTTCTGAGCCATTGGACCTGTTTGAAATTCTGAGGGCTTGTTGTGGGTGGAAGCTTTCTCAAAATGGCTGCCAAGGGGGAAGGTGTTTTTATCACAAAATGGCTGCTATGATAGGTGTAGCCCAGTGTTGTCCAAACTGGCCACTTTAAGATGAGTGGACTTCAACTCCCAGAATTCCCCAATGTAGCCAAACAGCTGGTAAATTGGGGAGCATGTTCTCTGCCACCCTAACTTTGTTGTTTTTCTGAGCATGTGGATTTACTTCCAAACAAAGAACTGGGCTGCACCCATCCCCTGTATTTATTTTCTAAGAATGCCTGTGGGATCATCTACCACTACAGAAGATTAGTGTTTAGGATGGGCTTCCTGTGATTAGAGATCAACATGTTCTCTCCCAATAGCTCCAGCTGGATTTTGGTATCTGGGGACCTTGGTTGGAGCATTAAAATTAAACTTTGAAATGAACCAAGAGAAGGGATGCCCGACTAAGTGAAAGATCCAGAATTTCTTGAAAGTCAACAGCCTGTATAAGCCCTGCAGTATAGAAAAGGAGAAGTTCCTACAGCACAGAATTGAGAAGCTGTAGGAACTTCCTTGATCAAAGGAAGGTGGGGCTGTGTCTTCCTCAAGAGCAGCGCTTCTCAATCTTAGCAACATTAAGATGTATGGACTTCAATTCCCAGAATTCCCCAGCCAGCTACTGTTGCCATTTCCAGGAAATAGGACAATGGGGTGGGGGTGAGTGGGTTGCTTTTCCTGCCCACTAGCCAGCTTCCTAGTAGAAGAAAATCGCAAAGATAAACATCACAGTTTGTCGGAAGAAGACCTGCCAAGACCAATCCTTGGTTGCTAATGAAGCAAAGAAACTGGTTTATTACAAATATATAGAGAAAAACATTGAGAAGGCCTTCTTTCTCCAGCAAGGAGCAGAGTGGCACAGGAGAAGCAGGCAAAGAAACCAAAAATCTCAATCATAACTCTAGTCTACATGCCAAGCAGCCTTCTCTAATCCAACCCGGATGCCCAGCAGATGGGTGGGCTTCAGCTTCCAGAAATCTCCTGCCAGTGTGATCACTGCTGAAGATGCTGAGAGTTGAAGTCCACACATCTCAAGGGTATCCAGCTTGGGGAAGGCTCCTCTTGGAGGTGCTCAGATGAAAAATAATGAACAAGAACATAGCCATACTTTGAAGGCTGGTGTAGAAAAAGGAATTTTAGCAGCAAACCCGTGAAAAGGTCCCCTTCTGAAATGGCCTCTAATACCCCAAGGATGGGCAAAGAGATAAAACTGAAACTTCAGTTGTGGTTCTTTGCAATGGATTATATATATTTCCTGCCCCACTTGTTTAATGATGCATCTCCTGAAATGAAGAAAAGCTGTGGTTAACAAAAGGTAGATTCTTATTTGGAAGGACTGTGTTCACTGTTATTTTTTCTTTCTAATGCTCATATCTAGTTTCTGGATTCCAAATTCTTTAATTCCAAGAATGATCAACCTCTGGGAAAAAGCATTAGATCCAGTGATCCATCCGCTGACTTATACAACCAATAATGGTTTGGTAGACCTTTCCTTAAAAAAACAAAATCAAAGTCCAAAAGAAAACTTCAAGACTGTAGCTCCCATCCAATCCAGCTAGCAGGCTGATGGGGTTTGTGGTCCAATACATCTAATCAATGCCAGTTGACTCTTTTCTCTGTGAAAGTAAGTTCTTCTACAAACCCCAGCAGAGAGACAGAATTGGCCCAAGTCACAGATGGGAATTCCTCTTTCATTCCATGTTAAAAACCAGACTTGGTTTGCTTGGTGAATATTTTCCAGCAAAATGACAAGTATCTCATAATACCTGTAATAAATACTGTATCTCATAATACCTGTAATCAGTAGCAAGGTTGGGGGTGCAGAAATCCACATGTGCATCTTAGATTGGTCAATATCAGGGCTAAATTAGGGGCTGTTCCTGCAAACTCTCCTGAAACCGATTTGTCTTTTCAGGGCAAAGTCCGGGTTCTGGCTCAGCCTCCTTGAAATACAGTGCAGGAATCATTGCTGCAGCTTTGTTTGGATCCCTTGCCTGGACCAGCACACTCTCCCTCTTCTCACTGCTCTTCTGTAAGTAGGTCCACTCCTTGATGAATGGGTTTGAATCTAGACACATGAGACACTAGAAGGTGAGCTTCCAAATGAATTATTTCCCAGCTCTGGGGAAAAAAGTTATCCTTCTTCCTTCCTTCCTTCCTTCCTTCCTTCCTTCCTTCCTTCCTTCCTTCCTTCCTTCTGCTGT